CCTGCTGAAATCTTTTGGGGCATATGCAGTCTTTAATTTGTTAAGCGTGAACACTTAGTATAAGCCTAATCCACTGTTCTGTACTTCAGTGAATTTACTTGGCACCGGAGAAGTGCAACTACTGACCTGTAGCTGAATTATGAAAGCTTTTATATTTTTTTATAGGTACTCTGTTTCGAAAAGTCTAACTTTTGAACTCTAAAAGCTTCTTTATCCTGTCCTTTTTCCTGTTTGAAGATTACTGACAACAATAGTAGCTGATTTTCCTCTGACAACAGTAGACTTCATGCCTGATGGTACTACTTTGGCTATAGGATGTTCCCGGGGAAAAATCTGCCAGTATGACTTAAGACAACTGACATCACCAGTGAAAACAGTTATTGCTCACAAAGGCTGTGTGAAGTGCATACGTGTTCAGTACAGTAGCACTTTTTCCAAGGTAAAAAAACCCCTTTTTATTGCTGAAATGCAGATTAGTAAAAGCAAAGCCTAAGTTTAAGTTCTAAAAGATGTTAGCATTCAGTTTCTAAGCATGATAGATGCCAACAAAAGTGGTTCATACCAACACAGAAATTATAAACTGCTTAGTCTTAAGTGCCATGTTAGAGTGTTTTTATGTGGAATTCTCCCCACGCCTAGCCTCAGTGAAGAAATGAGTGAAACTTTAGTCTTAAATTTCCTGGTGTGAATATGCTGCCTTTGCAGATCAATTTGTGGCACCTTGGATTCATTTGTAGGTGGTAGTAAAAAGATCTGTAATGTCCCTTCCACTTAAGGGGAAGAGACACAGCTGCCCATCTTGAGATATTTTGCGTGGTCTTCTATATGGTCTTTTGCAGGCACATATAAACAGTGTAGAAGTTGATTAAATAATAAAGAAGGCTTAAGAGGTTCTTCCAAGACTTAATTAGGTTCTACTTTATCCAGAAACCACATGCATCCGTTCAGTGGAGGTGGAGAGAACCTTTGAAGTGGATTCTTTATGGCCCTGAGAGATTTTCCTCTTCTTCCAGCACACTTGCTGCTAGTGGTTAACTATTCCTTTACAATCTGGAGTCCCTAAAAATGTTATCTCTTATTTTTCCTATGCCTAAGCCTAGGATCAAAATTGGCTTGTGCCAAGTCACTCCATTGTTACTTTAAGTTCTGTTGCTTTTCTTTTACAGGTCCACAAAGTATTCATATAATAATACAGATGTTTGCCATGTTCTTTGAAGTTATGTTAAGATACTTTTTTTTTTTTATATTTGTAAAGGTGTATCTCCTAGGCAACCTTTGCAACTTGAACTGAATTTTTTTTTAGTATTTTGAAAGAGAAAGAATATTTGCTTATGTTTCTACTTTCAGATGAAGGAATAATAACTTCTCTTAATTTGTTTTATTTTTTTCTTCAGTCTAACCTTACGGGTTCTTCAAATAAACCTGTATCCAAAAGAGCAGAAGTCAAAGCTGGTAGTAATCTTGGAGGAACTCAAAATATTGGTATCAAAAATGTTCCCTCTCAGGCGTCAGCAACAGTTTCATCCCATCTGACATTGCCAAATGACAATAAGGGGGGAGAGGTTCTTCAGGAGAAAACAGGTAGTGTCTTCTTCCTACTCTTATAATCATATTTGGCATAATGTAGAAGATGGAAAGAATATTTAATGCCTTGACAACTGCAGCATAAAAATTTCACCAAGGAAGGGCATTTGTTTGAAAGAACTGTGTGTACGTGCATGCACATGTGCACCTTATTTTCCCTTCCCTACTGCATGAGATGTACTATGAGACTGTGGGAAGTGAATTGGGTCCTACTACAAGCTTTAGGCACATGAAGTCTAAAATTCTGGACTTGAAACAGAAGTATGTATGTAAACGTTGAAGGAGAAAACTCCATGGCGATATTGTGGACTTGTCTCTTGCATTGTGACTAGTAGATTATCCTTATGTACATAATTACTTTTCTGACACAATGTCTGTATGGAATGAAGAGCTAATGGTTTGTAATTCTATTAATAAACAGTGGTAACAGGCCTCGTCTAAAAAAACCAACCAAACAAAACATAGGAAAAAAAACCTAGTCCAAAAATCCCAGTGAGAAGTGAACTGTTTTTTTATGAGGCATGATTCCAATATCACACTGTAGGAAAGATGTTAAATATAGGTGCAAGTATGATTAGTTGTATAACTGTACTTGCTATTTATGCTTCTGAAATTAACAAGTTCTTTAGAATAGTTCTGAACATTATTCTAAAATTCTGCCACTGTGTGAAATGTACTCTTAAAATTTTATTTAATTCAAGAGTTCTGAAAACTTGGTCAAATCAGTAACGCAGTTTGATTCTTGAAAAAATCCTCAATCCATTTTAATGCAAAAGCACTTTTCCCCCTCCTTTTTAAATAAGGAGAAATACATTTAGCAACAGTAATTAGGCAATAAGCCCCTGCAGTCCATAGGGATGTGTATTAATGACCTCCCTTGGGTATGCAGTGAAGTGTGAGGTGAAGTAGAATGCTTCCTATGTATGCAAGAACTTTTAGGAGATTTATTTATGTTTTTACAATGCTGATGTTCTTTGCATAGGTTTTAACTTACAAAAGCAAAATTTAGGCACTTTCAGAGTTAAGAGTTCAGTGAGGGCAGAATAGCTGCTTGCTTACGAGTCTTGATCTGATTTTCAAATATACTGAACTGTGAAAGTTATTTAGATGGTTATCTTAGCAGTTCAATTAACTTCTCCATATATTCCTCATCTAAAATCTGTACTTTGAATAATTACTGGGGTTTTTTTTTGAACTTAAGATATGCTTCCATTCTGCAGACAACTGTTTCTGATATCATGCATACAAAAGCTAACTTTTTTCTCCGAAAGGGTGGAATGGGGAAAGGTCTAGGAACAAGTTTCTTTTGTCTACTACTGTAACCCTGCTCTGATTTCCTAATATTAGAAATAAGCAGAGTATCCTAACATATAGATGTTTCATAGAATTACCCTTAGAATGCTTAATGGCCAGAGTGAAACAGATTTGTCTTCTTGCAGAATTAAATTTAAATTATGATCATCTGAATATGATCACTTTCTTAGTGAAAGACACATTCACTAGTTTTCATTTCACCTGATACACTATAAATTTGCTGCATCCGTCATGTAGATTTATCTCAAAATGAGTGCATTCTCCAGTTTAACAAACTCTCCTTTTTAAAAAGAGGAAAGGAATCCTGCTCTATCTTACTTTCATTAATATGTGTCATAGCTTTTAGTTATTCACCTGTGATTACAGCCCAAACAAGTAGGTTAAAGTTGACCCCCTAACTGGAATCTGTAGAAGATTCTAAAGTACTTGCTGGACTTATCCGGCATCATGCTTACTGTGAGATTGTTTAGGGATAACATATGTTATTTTTGGAAAATGTCAATTACTAACTGAATGTTACTGTCCTTTTAAGGCTTTCCCCATAGTTGCAGTTTGGATGTGATTCCGTCTAAAGAAACAGATCATGGGAAAAGTGCTGATTTAAATAATTTTGATTTGGGTCGAGGTAGTTTAGGAGACGTGTTTTCTCCAGTCAGAGACGGTAAGTTGCTAATACTGAAACTTATAAAGCATCATTCATCTGCATATAGCATGACATTTTGACATTTGTGTGCTACTGACCGTGGTACCTACTTGGTATTTTAGTTTGTCTTTGATTATGAACTCAATGCAATGCTATGAATATTGATGTATGTTTCATTTAATAGACACTTAATTTGTCTATGTTCTGGTATTTTGTAGATATTATTGCAAGTAAAGCAAATGAAGATTCTCAAGGAAAAGGAGATGGTAAACATACTTCTGGTATATTTTTCTTCAGTGATAGGCCTTTGGAGGGCTATGGTAGTTCTTACATGCTAATTTTGTCGTACCGTTGTAAATAAAGAAAGAGTGAAAGCAGACACTGAAACAAATGAACTTTTCTGGAAATTGTCTAACACATTGAGGTGCTAAGACACAACATGGTAACAGGAAATCAAGAGAAGGGTCCTGAAATTGTTTTTTCCTTTGTGCAATTTATAGTGATATATAGAGGCTTTTCGTGCTTCATTACTTTCATAAGGACAGTGACAGTTTAAGTTGGATTTCAGGATTTAGATATCGTCAGGTACATTTTTGGTTTTTTTTTTTTTGTTACTTTTTTCATGTGGATGTGCAGGTTTTAATTGTGAGTTTGATTTGGTGTGTGTGTTTGTTTTTTCACCTGTGTGTTTCACCTTTCCCTTCTCATTTTAGGTCTGGATTTTCAGTCATACCTTTTGGGTTTGGATTTTCTCTCACAGCTCACCACTGCTCTTCCAGTAAAAAGAAGCCCAGTGGGCAGTAGTGCACAAGGGATACGGGCTAGCCCATTACATGCACTCGTGGGATCTCCAGTTAAAGAAGAGGAAGAGCATACAGAGACTGACACTAAGAAAATAAATCTTGGAAAACAAGAATCTAAAGAAGTCTTAAAGGAGGTATACTATACTAATTCTTGTTATGAGTAGTCTTCTTAAAATCTTGACAGAATACTGCTGCTTGAAGGAAAAATCCTTACTAGTGTTCCAGTTAATCTTATTTTGCAACTCTGTTCATACTATTGATATAAATCTGTAAAATGTTGTTCAGTTTAAGTGCGTTGGCCTTCAGCAATGCAAGATAAATGTGTGTTTCTCTCAAATAAACTCAGGTTACAAAAGTTCACATAAAACAAAACTGGGCTAGCTTGAGGAATATATATTTTTTTTTTTCCCTAGAAAATCAAGAATGATCATTAGTTGGTTGTACCAGTTTGTAGTTTGCTAGGTCAATTCCTTTTTTTTTCTCCATCTCTCTTCTATCTTCTCTTCTTCATCTCTCTTCTTCTTTCTTGAGATATCTCTGGTATGCTTCTGCTGAAACCATAGTTCCTTTTGTATTGCTTTTGAGAAGTCTGAGTTTGCTAGGAATGGTATTTATAACTTCACAACAAACTGATGTGAAAATTAAGAGGCCTCTGCCTTTTGCGCTCCTTTCTGTGTGTGCGCACTGGAGGCGATTTCGAATGTTTTAGCAATCAATTTTTAACGTGTCTTGTTAGAAAATGAAAAGCATATATTTGTGAGTACATTCCTAAAACCAAAAATGCTTGGAAGTGCACTTCTGAAAACCTAGTCTTCAAGTGCAATTAGATAATTGTAATAAGTAGATTTCACCTTCTTTTTTTCTAATTACTATTTTTATTTTTATTGTCAGCTTTCAAAATCGAGTTCATCAAGTGCAGAATCTGTAACTTTAAGTCCTCCTACATCATCTACTGCTGTAAAGTCTCCTGATACAAATGAGAGGCTCGTGAAAAATACTCAGGCCCATCCTGCATATGATCTACCAGTAAATGGTACTACCTCAACAAGTAAGTTGATCATTTTGGCCTGGTTTCAGGTGTGGTTGATTGTGAACTAATGTGAAACCTGGTAAAAGGGCCTTAGCATGAAAACAGAACAACCAATATTGATTCTTCTGTAAATCCAGTTAGCTCTCCTAGAACATCTCTAGTTGCCTCTGAAAAGACTCATTCTAAATCTAATTTTTTTTATTAGGTAATATTTGAGATAAAATATTGACAAGCCTCAAGACAAATAAAAAACCTCTCGTACTCCATTACACTGATTTTTGTAAAAAATTTTTTTATTTTTCGATTTTATTTTATTGTAAAGGTCCAAAGATAACATCACCTGTCACCGCTGGAGTTGCTAGTTCATTGTCAGAAAAAATAGCAGAAACCATTGGGAGTAGCAGACCAAATGCACCTCTGACATCAATCCAAATAAACTTCATTCAGAGTATGATACAAGAAACAATGGATGACTTCAGGTACTGGTATTCATGCAGAACATTTTTGTTTTCAACTACAGGTTTTCTTAGTAAGATGTTTTAGCATCTGCTTTAACAAATTTCTACTTGCATTGGAAAATTACACTATTAGTAGCCCTAATTTTGGAAATCTAGGTATGAAACTTCATTTATTTTTAATAGTGCTGATGACTGATTGGGCTGATGTCTCTGAGGGTTGTTAGTGTGTGGCTCTGCCAGCATGTTTTCAGAATGAGTGTTTGAATGCTTCTTGGACGGTAAGTTTATCTGCATAATGAGGTCCTTATTGCTTTCATGAAACCTTGTGCTGATTTCTTTCCCTCCCCACTCATCCCCTGTCCCAGCAGCAGAAATTTCTCATAAAGTTGACACTGTGGAGAGTGGATTTAGGCAGTTGACTTGTATTGGCTTTGATTGTTGTTAGCTTGACGTGTAAGGTTAAATACTGTGTGTATTTCTACTGGTGAAGCTTTATGTTAAAATAATGTCTATGCTATAAGTGATAGTTGCTGTCAGATTACTTTGTGTTTGTGGATACCTATCTGATATTCCACTTGTCATGAAAGAGGTAAGTTAAATTAGCATGGATTTGGAGTGGAGTTTGAAGGAGATGGAGCAGTGGAGAGAGTTGTATTTGGGGGATCACTTTGCAACCCATGTTTAAGATGATCTAGGTTGACTGAGATGGTGGAGGGGGGAAAAGGATTGCCAGGAGAGGAAGTATTGCTGTCTTGATGACAAAAAGCAGTTCAAAACTAGCTCAGTAGGTCCATGTGGTATGGCTGTTCTGTATCTGCCAATGGAAAAATACCCTGAATATTATTAAATGTCTTTAAATAAGAATATAGTACAGTAACACTTCCCTGGGATTTTTTAGTGAGAATCACACATCTGATTAAAAACTGTAACATGACTTAAAATGCAATCTGTGGATTGCAGATTTTTTTTCTTTAAGTCTGTGTTCAGGCTTCTCAGTGGTGGAAGGTATGCTTGTCAGTCTTGTACTTTCAGTATCTGAGATCTGGAGCCTCAGAGATTGTGTTTCTCTTCTGACCTACACTTCTTGGAGTAGCTGGAAGACCCTCCTGGCCCTTTTCCCAGTTGTAAATTATGGATACATTCAAACTGAATGTAAAAGATTGTTTGCACTGAGGTCAGTAAGAGGGAAGGGAGCCATTGCAAGCTTCTCAGTGATATAAATACCTTTCACCCTCTGGAATCGGAGGGAAGGATTTTTACCACTCTTGCCTGAAATCCATTAGTCTTCAAGTAATGGGGAAAACCCAAGGACTTTGGAAAAGGACCAGAAGGAATATATAACTTGTTTGGTTCCAAAAAGCTGCTTGTTTCTTGAATTTCCTGTCTTTGGGAGATAACCTACATCTTTGGGTTTCTAAGCTGCCAGCTAGCATCTGTGAACACGTGAAGATTGTTTGCCTCCAGTAGGAGCTGTGAAGCACAATAACCTGTGGAAACAGAAAGTGAAGAGTATATTCTCTTTGGGTTTTCTGTATGTTTTAGGAACGGAGAATGAAATAAGATTTGTGTGTGTCTACTTAAGAAATTCCTTACTTTCTCAGCCCGTTGGTACCCATAGCACGGTATTCAGTCTCAGGCAATTGTGCTGTGATGCGCTGCTCAGAAAGAGCATATGAGCTTGCCTGTGCTTTTGTGATCTGCAGTTCTCCTTCTTCACGTCTGGAACTGTTTTATTAGTGTAGTTTTCAGAGGGTATTTGAAAGCTTAGTTCTTGTAGTGTGGAATAGTTGTCCATGTGTTGACAAATTCATGTCAATTCCTGGACAGCACTGCCACTACTTCTTATGTAGATGAATCTAACGTGGAGCATTCTGTAGGCTTGAGGATAATGTATCATTTATCACAGTTGATGTTTTGGGCATTTTTAAAAAAAGCGTGCTGAAAGTGATGTACTGAAAAGCTGTATCTTCAGTTGGAGATAAATATCTTCCTCTGCAATACTTGTGATCGAGGGATTGAAAATCAGCTTTGAATGGTAAAAATGAGAGAAGTTTACGGCTTGCAAGCAAAAAAAAATCTTGATACCACCATGTGTATTATGATCTTTTCTGTTTAGAAATATAAAAGTCTTTTTGTACAGTGAAAAAATGGTGAAAGTCAGTGTCATAACAAAAGTATTCAAGAAGATAAGTGGTAGAAGAGTACATTTCATGGTTTAAAGGTTTTTAGATTCATGTTTCACAGTGTCTTGAAGGTGAGAAGTGTGGAGTTCTAGGTGCTGAGGACTGGAGAGAATTACTGCTTCCTAAATAAAACTAAGCATTGTCCTTTTGAAATTCCTCCCCCAGAGAAGCATGTCATCGAGATATCGTGAATTTGCAAGTGGAGATGATCAAGCAGTTCCATATGCAGTTGGTATGTACAAAGAGCATGGTAGGAAATATATTCAGTTTTCATTTTTGGTAAGACCAAGGCATGCCAACTTCTTGTCTCAAAACTGAAAATCAATTTTGCTTATTAAGAGCAAGAAAACGAGGATTGGATGTGAAGGAGGGGGAAACTATGAATTAGAATCTGTTAAACTGGTTTATGCTTGATAAATCAAAGGAACGTTTGCATTGGGTAGGTGTCATGAGTTCTATATTTCAGGAGTTATAAAAAGACAAAAGGGAAACAAGTTCACCTGTCCTTTGGAAAGGAGCTGGGGTAAGGAGGAAGTAGATGCAATTCAAATAGAAAGCTTCACTTATAGGTACTGTATGCATACTGAACTCTCTTCTGTGTTCTTCACCTTTTTATGAATCTTTGTTCTTTTGATCTGCATTAAAAATACCTTGTTTCAGTACTGAACGTTTTAATGGAACCTGCATTAGTAGATTCTTGTCCTGAAGAAGTGCAAAATATCCTTTGATAAAATATTCACTAATGTATTAATGATCAAAATAATGTATGTCAGCATAAAAAAAAAATATTACATTTCTTATCAAAAGTTTCTAAAAACAGTATTCTAGGTTATTTAACTTTCAAAAGGGATATGAAAATGGATAGTCTAAAGCTGGAATAATTAAATTTATAGCTGCTGATTGAGGCTTTTTTCTTTTCTCTAGAATGAAATGCATGCTTTACTTGAACGATATTCTGTAAATGAAAGCTTAGTAGCTGAAATTGAGAGACTACGAGAGGAAAACAAAAGACTGAAGACTCACTTCTGAAAGATTTACACTGCTAATTTTATTAGCATGAACTCACTACAGGTGGTGTGTTGCTTATGACAGATCATTTATCATCACCGAAGTATTGTATGGAGACCTGCTATTATTTTGAACATGAATCTTTTTTTTTTAAATAAGTGGTGTAAGATACTATGTGTAATTATAAAATTTGTAACAGATAAACACCATATAAAGAACGTTTGCATACTCATGCTAACCATCTTGGAATACATCCTTCTAACAGGAAAACGGAAATAAGTACATCATCAGAGTTTTAGCTATATGTGAAGTGCCTTTTTATAAACAAAATCAAACCAGGATGGATGCCTTTTCTGTAAGAACTTTTTAATATATCTACTTTTCTATCTGCTTCTTTATTTTACTGCTGTCAAACAATCATTGTAGTTTGCCTTTCAGATACTTTGAGAAAAAGGGGAGAGAAGGGTCTTCTGCATGATGTGGAGCCTTGTTTATAAGGAGCTTGAAAGTACAGTATTCAGTTAAGTTTATTCAACTGGCAACTCTTCTATCCTGAGTTGCTTGAAAATATTCCCAAATTCCATGCCATAGTCTTTCTTATGGTATTTATAAGTCTGAAATTTGTGCTTGTCTGCTGTGAACTTTGTTGTTATAAATGCTACTTCAACTGCACTACGAGATTTTTTTTGTTACAGCTTCAGCTATGAAACTAGAATTATTTTTATTCACATGTTTTTGAATACTGTCATATCTTGTCCAATTTGAATGCAGCTTTAGACTTCTAAATTTAAGTATACCCAGCCATTAATAATATAGCGTTGTGTAAATGCAGTCCTTCAGTCTTTGATTCAAGCATCTTTTGCACCCCCCTTCCTTTTTACTTGTAGTGGCCAACAGTTAATATTGAGCAGTTGTATTTAGTTTTGAATCTTGTTGAGTTTGCATTATTGTAGCCTTTTTGAGATAGCTGTATACCAAATCTAACCAGTATCTTAGTTGTATGATTAACATAACAAACAATAAATTATTACTTCAGTAGCATAATGGTATCGTACTTGTGTGTAAACATTTCTGAAATGAAGCTGAAGTTCATGGGAGGTTTGTCTTGGCCGTTTTTTATGCCAAGAGATTAAATTAAAATTTCAATTTTAAATTAATTTTCAAATTAAAATAAAATTTTAAATTAAAGACTTATCTGAAAGACTTCTTCTACAAGTGCTTCTTGCTATTTAAATTGCTCTGGAGGCTTCTTAATTTTCCCACTAATATTTGGTTGTTTCTTTTCACACAATCATTAAAACTCAAACAAGGAAAGTCTGAGAACATGGTGAGTTAGTTACAATATCTAGCATTTAAATCCATGATAGCACTCTTCTACTAATGAGAAAGCCATAATTTATAGTGTAACTTATTTTTATATGTTGTAAAACTAAAAAACCCCCTGTCTATACCTTTTCCCTCTCTTTAACGTTTTTTACAAAAGACACTTCATTTTTTTTTCATGTCAGTTAATGACAAGTACAATCTTGTAGCAAAAATGGGGGTGTTCAAGTAGTCTTTAATATTAGGGACAGGACTTTAAATGTCTGCAGTTCTGCTTTTATAAGCTTTTAAAAATATTTCTGTATCACATATAACTTCATGATAAAAGGAAGCAAAGTTAATTTTTTTAGTAACTTAACACACAATGTAGAGAAGATTTTGGTTTTTTTTTTTATGACTTCATAGGAAGTGTATGCTTGACACATTGACCACACAGTTTGTGAAGACAGTAGTATCTTACCATTCTCTTACGTGCTTTGCAGGATTAATGAAGTAATCTCGCGTATTTGCATCTCTTGATGTGTTCCCCAAGTGCTCTTGCTGGTATACCCGGATGACAGCAGGGAATTAGACAAGTATCTCGGGTATTTGGCTTGTAGATAATTTGTTTTCTTGACTCAGAACTGTATAATGTTTTTCTTAATTCCCAAATGGAGGTCATTATAGCAAGAGTGATTAAAAGGAGACATTTTGGCCTTCTTTTAAAGATTTTTAGGGTTTGGTTTTTTTTTTCCCATATCTCAGGATTACTGTAACACATGCAATGTGGAGACCCAATATGCCTACCACTGTAGGGGTATATTTTGCCTTGTACACAAATATGATTTGTATCTTAAAATAAAGCTTGTTTTAACCTTTTTGAAAAAATTCTGTGGCCGCCTACTTTATACAGGGAATAATCTATATTGTAATTGTTCTACCTCAGCAGGCAAGAGCCTGAGCCAAAGAATAGGTAGAGATTTACCTAAAATTCTTGAGTAATCTCTGTTCTGTCTCTGGCTTCACGTAGACCATCAGCTCATTTCCACAGAAATGTTCACATTACCTCATGCCTTTGGAGTAAAGAACAGATGTACAGTTCCCCCTTCCAGCTTGGAAACTGTTAGTCATGATAGACAGATCATGTTCACAGCTAAAAATAATGTTCAAGCAGATGTTTTGGGTGGGGAGAATAATCTTTTGACCTAAGCTTCTGGTGAATTGGAGATCCTGCATCTTCCTAATACTGAACTTATGGATGCTTCCCTTTTAGTTCCCTTCTCTCATGCACATATCAGACTTTCTGTGATGGGAAGTTTATTTGCAGTTTCATGGTATGTAGGTTTTGAAAACTCATTTTGATTAATTGATTTATTATCATAAAAATGCAAAATGCCAGCATATCCTTACTTCCTAGCAACAGCCCGCCAGTGCCTGATACATACAATATGCTGTTTATAAACACCACAAGGATGATGAATTTGGAAGTTGCTCGGTGCCCCTTCTATACATGTAACAGGCCCTATGAAAAAGAATAAAATGCTTTACAGGCTGCATTGCCAAACAGGAGTTTCTTGGTAGCAGATATCATGGACGCTAAAACTTAATCTGCAACCATTTTTAATCTTATTTGGATATAAAGATAACAGATCTGCTAATGATGGATGCTTAAGACTGACAGGTCACATGCGCTATATGCTTGCCTACCAGCGTATGTATGTCTGTGTGATTGTTACTGGCGTGTGTCGAGCTGCACCTTCTGGTCTGGCTCAGGATGGCCATTTTCACGTTACCTCTTGCGGTGCATCAAGGGGGGTGATGATCAACAAATTCTTCAAGAACCAACTATGGAAAGAATCTCATACTCTTTCTTGAGCATGCAGGTCTGGGTACTGGCAAAGATAAGATATGAGCCTAGAGGGATAAGAATAAAAAATTCTGAAGCATTTTCAGAATAAACTGTGAAATTATCTGTGAGTCTGGATGTCTCTCTGGAGACAAGGAAGTACAGACACTGCCTCTGTTCTGACACCTCGTCTTTTCATACCTGTCTCTGGCACAGCTATAGTACAAGGAAGCAACAGTAGGATCATCCTCTGTGAAGATTTCAAAAGTCATTGTAAACACATGATTTTTAGTTCACTTTGGCAGTCCAAACAGTGATATATTTGTGGGACTAAGCCATATGAAACAATCATTCAGGTGTGGACAATGATCTGTTGTATCTAGTATTGTGTCTGCATCAGTTGCCAGTACTACTTTCTGCTAAATAGTTGCTTTTACCAAAGTTATGGGCTCATATGAGATGTTTCCTTTTCTTATGGTAGAAAGCTAACCTATGGTTAGAATGTGTACTTAATGTTTTGAAAATAAACTGCCAGAAGCTTTTTTGAGGCAGTGCATGTAATCAACCAGATTTTCAAGCGTGTCTTTGAGATGGGTCCAGAAGGCATCTCAGAGATGTGAGAGCAAACTTAGAAACCTCCACTAAATCTCCAGAAACTTCTAGGTTATTCTCTCTTCATCTGGATTTAAACAACTGGGCACTAAAACACAGGGAAGAGACGTATTCCTTTGCCTCACTTTACTCAGACCTGAACTCAAGTAGCAAGTGTCATCCCTTCATCTAGACAAACTGTATTAGGACTGGAGTTGCTTGGTGGAGCAACAGCTGCTCCCTTTTTTTGAACTGTGCCCATCTTGAAGCAGTTCTGGTCTCCAAATGCTTATGCACCATGCCCAGTAATGCTCACAGTATTTTGGGGTTCCACCATGTTAGAATGGCTTGGGGCTCAAAATGGGTTGAATCCACTCTCTATCACGTACTAGCATTTCTCATACAGAAACAACTTCCCAGCTTTGTATCATCTGCTGTCCCACATCATCACTGGCCTCACTGTAGCTGCAACTGCCTTTGCAGGGAGTTCAAAACTGTCACTGTACCTCTGAAGACCACGTGAAACCTGTTCTAGCTGTAGAAACTTCTGTTGTTCTTATTAGCCAAATATTGTTGTCTCTTAGTTCTAACAGGTGTAAGTTGCAGCAAAAACCATCGCGCTTTGGGGTCTACATCTCTCTTGAATTCATCATTTGTCTTCTCATTCCAGCTAAAAATACCAAGGCACATGTAATTGAAAGTTATTATGGTTCCCATCCAATTTCTTACACTACAGAGTTCTGTCTCTATGGAAATTACTGTGAGACAATGCTTTTTCAGATTATTATTTTTCAAGAATGATAATTCTGATTTATTCTTTTCATCCCTACTTGGCCTGAGTAACAGAGAAGGAAAGAAATTACACAGAGAAAAGGACACATGAGAAAAGAACACGATTTCCTGTACAGGTTGTTTACATCTGAGTGCCTTTACAGGTTATAAAAATGCATATTAGCTAATACAGGGCAGAGATGTTTCAGAATTAATTTTTAAAAATTAATGCTATAAATAAATATTGGGGCTCAGTTGTGTTACTATAGCACTACTTACCAGAACCACTGAATACCCAGAGGTGTCCAGCTGGAGATATTTTTTATAATTATCAAGTTGCAGAGGGTGACCTGTGTTTTCTGAAGAGTGAGTTTTTCATATTTTCATAAGGTCTCAGATTGGCCAATCAAAAATTAGGGCAAATAAGCCCAATTAATTATTCTTTGAAAGTTTTGGGCTAAGTAGATGGAATTGTCCCCCCAGTTTCATAGCTTCTAAACTCAGAAGCAGTTCTGGGTTTAAGCTGTTCTAGTTCTTATGACTGAA